GTCTCTCCAGGGTTTACTCCATGCAGCAAGTTCACTGTCCCATATGGCATCCCAGTTGGGGTCTGAAAAGCTGAAACACATCACAGTCGTGATTCACAGGAGAACGTTCGGCATCTATCACCAGACAACATTTAACAGGCTGACTGTTACTGCCTGTGCCTCTCATTCAAGCATGGATGCCAGCAAGAGACCAGGGGTTTGGAGTAGTCTGAAGTGCACTGAAATAAATGGGAGGTGGCACCATAGCCCGGTATGGGGGAGAGAGGTAGAACCCAGAAGGCTAGACAAGAAATGCTGGACATCGATTGTGGAGACCTATCACTTAGCATGCAGTGTTTGAGGGTATGCCTGCCTCACTGCACAAGCGGGATGATCTCTGAGGATGCAAACGCTGAACAGCTGCCTCATTAACTGAATGCAGTCCAATCTGTGCCCGGGACGAGGCACATAAAACCAACACAACAACTCACGTACTCTGACTGTGTATCCTAATGGAAGCCCACAGTGGGGCAGAGTTGAGTTTGCACATTTTCTGCCTCTAGAGACCATCACTTGACCACCTTAATGTTCTTTTAACATTTTTTTTTGCTTGGAGTAATTAATATACATGATGGCGTACATTCATGTGACTGATAGCACCACGTTCCGGGTGTTTCCTGCAGGCATTACATATACCTAATGCTGTCATTTCAGAAGACTACACTCACATTTCCTGCGATATTTTGTCTCAAGTGACCCAGAGTCCTGCATTCTGCTTCCAACAACCATCCCACAGCTGCTTTGGAAGCTTCAGAGGTTTCCATGTGGATTGTAAAGGATTTATTTGAGCCTAGGCTCATTCCCCAGACTTCAGTAACACCAAAATACTTGTACATCAGTGCAGCACTGACAAAAATATGGCCGTTTAATACAGCTAGTTAGACTTCCCCTATGATTCCAGTGATCTGGGGACTATTTTAGATGCTGAAGTGATGGCACTTTTATTACTACTGGCCAGTTAACTCAGCATCTACTATGCAGAAGAGTGCAGAGAGAAGTTAGATCTGCAGCTCTGGAAAGGTTCTCACCTGGTAGGAGTTTACGAGCAGCTTCTTCCGCCATCCTCAGAAGAGGTCCTGAGCACGGCCATCCTGCTTCCACTTCAACACCAGCTTTCTTAGACAGCAAGTGAGCAGACAGGAGACCACCTACCACTGGAACAGTGCAAAGTGAGGGGCTCATTAGGAAGTACAGGGAGGAATGAACTGATGGTTTTGCGCACAAAACCCCCAAATCAGCAGCATTTGATTCCATAACTAGGAAGTTGTGGCGGGGAAGGGGAAGACAGATGGCTCATCTCTAGTGTCTAAGAAGGTGCTAATCAAAGATGCTTTGCAAAGATAAAAAGTTGGATTTATTCTTGTTCTTGCTTCTTTGTAAACTGTCAAAAAGAACTGGAAGCACTTCTTCTACCTCATTGCATTAGAAGCAGCAGATCTTACCTATGCCCGTTTATCTGTAGTACAGATACAGACAACTGAAGAACTATTGGGATTATGACATCAGGAGAATAAAGTATGAGCAATTGAAAGGGAGAGTGGATGGGGTTGTCTTGTATTTTAAATGAGCCCAGAAATGTGTAACATAGCAAGTGTAGGTCAAAAACTATTAATGTGTAAAATATTTTACCAGAAACTGTCTCAGGGTGCAGAAACTAGCAGAGCAGGAGAATGAGAATAAGCATAGCACAGTTTTCTTCTCTGAAAGTGTCATTTAGGTAGAGGGAATTGAAGGAGTAGAACAAGCAAGTAGTGCTGAAGGCAGAGGTCGTCATGATTTTTCAAGCGAAAGAGGACTTTAATCATAGCTTCTTAAATAGACAAAATTACTCTCCATTCCAGAACATCGTCTGCCTCAAGGGACACAAGAAACTTATTCTAGAAGCAACAGCAGATTTGATGTGTAACTTTATGACTTCAGCAGGAAACCTCTCATTCTGAAACTTAAAACTAACCTTGAACAAGAACACAAACTGTAGTATGCATAGTTTACATATGGAACCATTCAAAAGGGGGCTGGGAGGTAATGCACAATGAAGGAAGGGAGGTGTATTTTTCTTTGTTTAGTTTGTATGCAGCAGAATTCAATTCCCACTGTTCTTCTGCATTGCCCTTCTGCATTAGATATAAAATTATGAATTCACAGAGACTGTGATTGTGACACACAAACGACTTTCAAGTTAAGCCCTACTCCAGCACCCAGCTCACCTCGGATGTTGGTTTCAAAGACAGACGCATTTACGTCAATATCAAAATCCACCCCCTCCTGCAGCACATTGACAACCCTCTGGAACTCTGAAACATTTCCCAAAATCTGGAAAAGAAATCAGGACAAATGAGAGGGAGGCTCATGAGGCAGCAAATGACTACACTCAGGAAAACAAAGGAGCAATTATAAGGAACGCATGACATAACAGACTCCTCAGCAGCTTCACTATAGGGTTAGATGCTGTTTTAAACCTTTTTCACTTGACCAAGCTGCAGGGGCGGCAGGTTTGTATAATTTTTGGTGGTGCCCAGAACAGGTCCAAATCCTGCCCACGGCTCTGGGAAGGAGTTTGGGTGTGGGAGGGAGTTTGGGGTGCAGGCGGGATGCGGGCTCTGGGAGGGTGCAGGTTCTGGGCTGGGGTAGGCATGCAGGAGGGGGTGCAGGCGGGGATGCATGCTCTGAGAGAGAGTTTGGGGGGGACGACAGACGAATGGACTGCCACGTGCCTCCTCCGGCACAACAGCTGCCTCAGCCTGCCCCTGGCGCCGCTCCCTTGTAGCCGGGAGCGGCCAGTGAGGGAGCGCAGCACGGAGCTGTAGGGGACAGCTCAGGGGCGGTGCGCGGGGTGGCAGGCAGAGCCGGGGGAGAGATCCGGCTCCGAACCTTGGTGGAACTGGGCCCTGAACTTGCTGGAGCCCAGGCACCACGGGCCCATACAACTTGCCGCCCCTGACTAGCTGTGAGCACAAGCTGCTGACTCACGAAACTGAGGATATAAAAGACACTAAGAAAAAGATTCCTATTTGATTGTCTTCAAAGCTTTCCCCCCTCATTCTGGGTCCTTATGCCATATTTAGAAGGTGTCAGAGGCTGGGCACTCCAGGCACCTGCATCTCAGTGGAGTGAAGTCAATGCAGGCTCTCCCTCTCTCAGTTAATAAGTTTCTCTCACAAGAAAGTGAAGAGCACCTGAGAGGAGCAGAGGTAAATCGAGGCCTCTAATGCAGGATATTTAAGAAGTGCAGAAAGTAATATTGTATGAAATAAAACAGAGAGAAATTAACAAGAAAAGGTTGTAATTGAGTGAGATACTTACTAGTAGAGTGTCCAAAGCATCAATCAACGTGAGAGAAAAACTAAAAGAGAAAAGAAGGCAGTGTGAGGAAATGTCAAGTGAGATAAGTAGCAGCCAGGGTGACAGACAGTAACAAATATAACACTTGAATATTTAACAGCAAAAACAAAAAAAGTCTAACTACAACTCCAGTTACTGAGAGGCAACAGCGTGAGCCAACCTGAGACCCCTAAGCTGTGTATAGAGAAGACTGGGAATTCTACCCAGAGGACATCTATCATCCTGCTGAATCTGTCAGATCACAACCATTGCCACTGATAGCATCAACACAAAATTATGACTCCACTGGAGGGCCAGGCAACAGGTAGGGCTAAGAACAAAAATATACTGTATTCCAACAATACCTGCAGCCTTAGTGGTAAAAATACCTCCCAATAATATTTCGTGACATAATCATCTTATTCACAGAGTTGTTTTAGCCGCATTGGTCCCAGGATATTAGCGAGACAATAAATATATTACCTTACCCACCCTGTCTCTCATCTTTTCCTTAAACAATTCTCTTTTACTGGCAGGTGCCTGGCTTGTGTGATCCAATTGGTTTTTCTCCTTCACCAACATATACGATTCAAGCTAATGCAGTTTGAGACTCCACCTTTACCAAACGGCTTGGCACAGTTACAGCAGAGACCAGGACAGCGCCCCACAGAGTCGTCAGAGCTAAAGATGAAGGTCTTTTAGATTCTTAAGTCTAGGGAGAGGTAGGGAAACGCCGGCACCCTGGACACAGCAGGCAAACAAGCTCATAGGGAACATTAACCCTCTCCAGTACCTTCCCCAGGTGTCCTGTCCATCACACGTCAGAGGCCGCAGTTCATCGTAGGGAAACGCGTTTTCCAGGTAGCTGTCGTAGGCGTGGTAGAACATGGACTTGACCCGCTCCCTGAGGGCAGAGGCGGCATTGGAGCGCGGACACGGCTACGGGCCTACCGGCACGCCAGGGCTGCGCCCCCGGCTTGGCCAAACCGGCCCGGGCTTCCCCCGCCCGCACTGCCCGGGCCGCTTGGCAGCCGCACGTCGCTTAAGCGCCCAGATGCGCGGCCCGGCCCCTTCCACAAGCCTGGGCGGGACTCGCCTACTGCCCCCAGCCGGGCCGGAGCGGGGCCGCACCGAGCCCGGGGCCGGAGCGGGGCCGGCCAGGCCGAGGGGGCCGCTCCCGGCAGGGGGAGCTGGGGGGAACCGAGCCGCCCTGAGCCTCACCGGTAGTGGGCGGTGTCTATGCCGCGGGCCGCCCCCTCCCCGGCGCCCGGCAGGTGCAGGGCCCAGAGGCAGCACAGCAGGTACCAGGAGCGGAGCATCGGGGGGTGGCAGCGGAGCCCGGCCGCGCCGCCGCTTCCGCCCCTCACGAGGGGGTAGCCACGCCCCTTCTGCGCGCGCGTCGGTCCCACTACTTGCCCCCCCCGGCAGTAGGCCTTAATGCGCCTGCGCACAAAAAGTACCTTCCACTTCCGGGTTCTCTAGCTACCGTGGCAAGTCCCCGCCCTCCGGAATCCGTCGTGTCTCAGGACGAGGCTGCGGTTTCCCCTTCCGGGGCATAGGGCAGCACCTGGAGCTGCTGCCAGGCTTGGGGTCTTGACCCTAGAGGTAGCCACGTTTGGTTTCCCTCGCGGGGAGGGGCGTGTCACAGCCACCGGCCTGGCCCGGCCCGTTACGGCCACGGTCAGGGACGGGCCGCGCCCTGGGCGCGGTGACCCAGCCCTGCACAGGCCTCTCCACAGCGTCCCTGGCAACCCCCCCCGCGCTCTTCTCCCCGCCCTGCGCGGGGCGCCCGGTCGCTGCCCGCGCGGCTCCCGGGGCCAGGTCCTCGGCAGGAAGCGCATGCCGGGGCTGCGAATGAGAGGGAGGGTTTTAACCCCCGGCCGGTCAGCTTTGAGTTGAGCCAGTGGCTTAATTTCCCGCCAGTTCTTCCGGCACCGCAGGAGCCTTGGTACGCAGCTTTTATCATGGCCGTTGCCTTACCTCGAATGCCCTGTCAGTCTGCTGCTTTCCCTGAGACTTCTTCAGCCTGAATCAAACGTCTTCTCTTCCGGGGTGCCTTCCAGACCAGTGGGCGGTGGTGCCGCTGCTTTCCCTGTAACCCTGAGTGCCTCAAACACCTGCCGCTGGAGCTCCTGTGTCTGGAGGCTTCCCTCCATCACACACGCACGCGCCCAGTGACTGTGTATTAAGCAGCCCGGGTTCAGTCTTCTGACTCTAGGAACCTGCTCCTTAGACCACGTCCCCACTCTGGCCTTCACCGGCCTTGTTTATACCTGGCACGATGAACGCAATGCCCCCCCCCCAGTCCTGAATTTTCCCCAAAACATGTGCTCTGTAATGTCCAGCCCTTTCCTGGAGAATTCAGCGAGAGACTAAGAACATAAGAACGACCATTCTGGGTCAGACCAAAGGTCCATCAAGCCCAGTATCCTGTCCTCTGACAGTGGCCAATGGCAGGTGCCCCAAGAGGAATGAACAGACAGGTTATCATCAAGTGATCCATGCCCTGTCACCCAGTCCCAGCTTCTAGCAAAGAGGCTAGGGTCACCATTCCTGCCCATCCTGGCTAATAGCCATTGATGGACCTATCTTCCATGAATCTAGCTAGCTAGCTCCCTTTTGAACCCTGTTATAGTATTGGCCTTCACAACACCCTCTGGCAAGGCGTTCCAGAGGTTGACAGTGCGTTGTGTGAAAAAATACTTTCTTGTGGTTGTTTTAAACCTGCTACCTATTAATTTCACTTGGTGGCCCCTTGTTCTTGTATTATGAGAAGAAGTAAATAACACTTCCTTATTTACTTTCTCTATACCACTCATGATTTTATAGACCTCTATCATATCCCCCTTTAGTCGCCTCTTTTCCAAGCTGAAAAGTCCCAGTCTTATTAATCTCTCCTCACATGGCAGCCATTTTATATCCCTAATCATTTTTGTTGCCCTTTTCTGAACCTTTTCCAATTCCCATATATCTTTTTTGAGATGGGGCAACCACATCTGCATGTGGGCATACAGGGATTTATATAGAGGCAATATGATATTTTCTGTTTTATTATCTATCCCTTTCTTGATGATTCCCAACATTTGGTTTGCTTTTTTGACTGCTGCTGCACATTGAGTGGATGATTTCAGAGAACTATCCACAGTGACTTCAATATCTCTTTCTTGGGTGGTAACAGCTAATTTAGACCCTGTCATTGCATATGTAGTTAGGATTATGTTTTCCAATGTGCATTATTTTGCATTTATCAACATTACATTTGATCTGCCATTTTGTTTCCCAGTCATCCAGTTTGTTCCTTTAAAAATATATTACCAAGCGGCTTGCCACATTAGCCGGAGTTAACATTCACTTTACATCAAACACAGCACTGGAATGGTTTAGATTAAAAGTAAAACAAGTTTATTAACAAGAGGCAATAAGATTGTAAGTGAATTCACATATAAAGGGTAGAGTTAGAAATGGTTACAAGCAAATTAAAGTGAAAAATGCTTTCTAGAGGCTAAGACCTTACAAAACAAGCTACAGCCTTTGTTCAAGGGAGTTTCCTTACCAACATATGCTCCAGAAAGTGGCTGACCAGCCCCTTTGGTCAAGAATCCCATAAAGTCCAAATGGTTTCTTTGTTGTCTCAGGTGAAAGATAACTTGTGGTTCTTTGCCCCTTTGTTGTCTAGTGAGCTTTTGAAATGGTTTCTTCTGAAGATTACCCCTCAAAGTAAAGTTCATTAGAGCCTAACAGCAGCTCCCAACACAGGTCCTGGCACGCAATTTTGGGTTCAGAGCTGCTCAGCTACTTTTTCAGAGCACCAGTTGGGCTTGTGGAGGTGTGGGGCAGGAAGTGTGAGCTTCCTTTTTTGAATCCTGCTTTTAGCGCCTCTGTGCCTCAGAAACACACCTGTCTCTGCCTTCTTCCGACCCTATGAAACCAGTCTCCTTGGTCCAGTCCCTGAGGGAAAAGTGTTTCCTTCCCCAGGTACTTCAACCTTGCCTCCTTCCAGCCAGCCCCCAGGAACTCAGCCCATCTCCCTCTCCATGCTCCCATGTTCCCATGAACACTCTTCATCTCCAAATCTCTATCCTTCCTTCCATGCCACTCAGTAATACACCCTCCACTCAAAATCTCTCTTAGGCCTCTATTGCCCATGCACTGCCCACTCTGCAAAACCAATTCACCCCTCTCCTTGTCAAATAAAGTAATTCACTGAGGCTCTGCAACCCTCCCAGAATCTACTGCAGTGAGGGCACCTCCACCTCAACAGTCAATTGCTCCTTCCCCCTGACCTTTCTTTGGGGGCCCTCTGCTGCCCCTCTTCCTGGTGCACCCTCTCGTGGAAGCCCCAGCTTGTTGTGCACAGGCTGCTATGCTGCTTTGCTCTCCTCCTGGGAAGACTCCAACGCAGCACCTTCTGCTCTCTCTCACTGCTCACAACCCTGCTCTCAAAGGAGCAGCAGCTCAGAGGTTACTTGGCTCATCACTCCCCGCTTCCCCGCTCTAACACTTGCTTGTTTTTCTTACAGCCCCAGTTCCCAGAGCGTGTGACTTCATGAGAATCTTAGCTTTGGTTTAAAACAAATTGTAAGTTTCTCATCCTTGTGGTTGCAGGGAAAAGCTTGGAAAATGTGAGCAACTCCATCTCCAAAGGACAAGTAAGCCACATATTTATTTTTAAAATCTCACGATTTTCAGTTTCACAATCACATACAAATACATATTTTCTTATAAACACAGCCCCAGCTGATGGTTAGTAGTGCTGCTGGGCAGTGATGAGTCTAGCTGGATCATGAACCAATGTGGCTATTGGAGGTCAAGCTTCCTCCAGACCAAGTGATGCTATGTAGCTAGCTTTTCATTTTCACCACCATTCGCTCCATCTTGTTTGAGTTCGTCTCCAGGCACCTGCTTCTCACCCAAGAGTGGAGTCTAGATTGGAACCAGGATAGCTGCATGATTGCACTATGTATGTCAGAAGTTAATCTTTCTTTTCTTTTCTTTTCTTTTCTTTTCTTTTCCATTAATGCCCACAGCATGCGGCTCATGAACTCAGGAAGACACAGCCCTGCCCTGCCCAGAAGAACTCAGTCTAAGAACAGGAGACAGAGCAGTTATTTGAGGTTGTACAGTCTCCTGATTTCCTCCTGTAGATCTTGAATAGGATAGGTGAGAGCATGGTGCCTCTGGAGCCCCACAGGTGAATGATCTGGTGAAGACCAGTGCTTCATCTCTCTGACCGCAGGCTGCAAAGAAGAATCGGTAGAATCGTAGAGCATTCTCTTCCAGGCCTGTATTAGTGCGGTACACTGCAGCTGACAGTACTAGGTGCCACAGAGGGACTGAGGGTCATGCAAATAGGCACCCTTGCCTTGTGTGGGGATAGGAGGAGGTCACTGATGCCATTTCTGCTCTATGATCTGGCTGGGAGCTGAACTGGGAAGATTGCTGTATATTGGGGATGGACAGGTGAAATTGGAGATGTCTCTTCTCTTTCCTGGCCTTCCAGATTTCCTCCTTCCAAGTGCTCTGCCTCCCTTCACTTCAGACTGAGCCCTTGCAAGATGCCCAGTGCCCACAGGGACATGCTTCAACCAAGCTGGAGGCTGATGGCTGGCACTGAGCTATACTGATGTGCTGTTGCCAGCATTCCCCACTGGCAGCACATTATAAATCCTGACCCACCCTGGTTTTGAATGATTGGCAGTTACCCAATGTTCCCAACGTCACTCTTGGTACGGTCCATTAAATCTGTGTTCCCCCATGCTGATTGTGAGTTCTCCCTTGCAGTATGGGCGTTTATTAACAGCGGCTGGTCTCTCTTCTCTGTGCCCCCATGTCTCAGAGGGTTCGATTGGTCCCTAATAGCTCATGTTCTCTCTCTAAAGCAGTTATTCCCGGAAGTGAGTGTGCATGCACATGGTGAAGGAGTGCAGGCGAGGCACATGCGCAGGAAGGGATGGTAGGAAGGTCAAGGCATTTGGCAACCTAGGTCTTGGCCTGCCAAAGCTGTGCTCTGTGGAAACCAAACCTATCAAGCAAATTGCTCTCAGGAAAGGGAAGAGTACGGTCAGCCTGAAAACCAGCTGTGTGTAGCTATGGTGCATCACATTGTTGCCAGCTGTCACTTGTTAGAATGACAGGTGCTTTTACTCTCAGTCTTTAAGGGGATACATCTTTATTTGAAGTACCCACAGCAGTGGGCAGAGGGGGGTGACAGCTAATTTTGGTGTAGTCTTTTGCAAACTGGTGTTCTTTTAAAGAAAGCAGAAGTTTCATGGACTGACAGCTACAGTGCTGGTGGGTTGGTTTCTTGGCTGGGTGTGTGACCACTAGGTGTCACTGCAGGCTTGTGTACAAACAAAAAGCCACCGAATAATTTCCACATATTGTTCATTTGCTGCAGTTGTAATTTAGTCTTCTAGGGCCATTTATCATAAAGCCGTCTGCTCTCTTATTCCATGGCTGAAGGCTGCAAGAGTATGTCTCACTATGCTCCTGGGAGAATCAAAGTACTGGAGTTGATTTCACTAAAAGCTGTCACAGCACATTATTGGAGCACATTTTATTAAAGTTCATTTTCCAGACTTAAATTTAACAGCGTTCTAGACCACTGTCATTTACCATACACTGGAACAGTCATTTCTCTATCAAAGTCAGTTATTGAATTCTAAAAGTTTTCAAACATATTTTTGAAAGAGATACAGTATGTGACTTGAAAGAAAAACAGGAGGACAAGATGCTAGAGCAGTAAAATGCTCCAGTGTCTTTCATACAGTGAGATGCTGGAATCTGGGACACAAGACAGCAACAGTGAGACTACAAATAACGGAATATGAAAAAGGCAGATTCCACAGGTGAAATTACACAAATACCAATCGGAGCATGTTAATTGCACATTACTCCAGTGGGCACCTGCGAAATATGGTGGAAAAAAATCTCCTTCCTCCTTCCTATAATGTGGTATGAAAATATTCCAAACAAAAGAGCTTCCTATCTTTCTACCTGCTAAGGCCAGAGTGTGTCCAAGACCAAGAACGAGACTAACAGAGGAGTTTGCAGTGGTGTTGTAGCTGTGTCGGTCCCAGGATATTAGAGACAAAGTGGGTGAGGTAATATCTTTTATTGGACCAACCTCTGTTGGTGAGAGAGATGAGCTTTCAAGCTCCAGAGAGCTCTTACTCATTGCTAAAGATATTCCTCGCCCACCTTGTCTCACTAACAGAGGAGGAAGCTGTCAATGATGTTGAATCATTCCTTTAAGGTGTGATGATCGGAGAGCAGAACTGTTTAGGATGGAGGAATAGGTGGTTCTAAAATGAGTCTTGCTTGTAACAGACTCCATCCTGTGTAGTGCTAAGACCCTGGACTTCTATTATAATAGCAGCTCATCACCATGCAGAAGGCACTTACAGGATCAGGCCCGCTATATAACATTTGAGAGGCAAATGGATCCTGTATTGTAGTAGCTGAGGTGAAGTAGCGCTGGAACTTTGCATCATTTCTGAACTCCTGTCAGTCCTCATCCCCTGACTGCTTTGCCTTTTAATCATGTTAGACACTCGGGAACCAAACTGCCAATTTACCCTATGGCCTGGTCTACGCTACAAGTTTAGGTCGAATTTAGCAGCGTTACCTCGATTTAACCCTGCACCTGTCCACATGACAAAGCCCTTTTTTCCGGGCTCTTAAAATCGATTTCTTTACTCCACCACGACGAGGGATTAGCGCTGCAGTCGGCCTTGCCAGGTCAAATTTCGGGTAGTGTGGACGCAATTCGACGGTATTGGTCTCTGTGAGCTATCCCAGAGTGCTCAAATGTGACTGCTCTGGACAGTGCTCTCAACTCAGGTGCACTGGCCAGGTAGACAGGAAAAGGCCCACAAACTTTTGAATCTCATTTCCTGTTTGGCCAGCATGACTAGCTCACCGGCACAGGTCACCATGCAGAGCCCACCAGCACAGGTGACCATGCAGTCCCAGAATCACTGAAGAGCTCCAGCGTGGACTGAATGGGAGGTATGGGATCTCATCGCTGTATGGGGAGATGAATTCGTGCTGGCAGAACTCTGTTTGAAAAGACAAAATGCCAAAATATTTGAAAAAATCGCCAATGGCATGAATGACAGAGGCTATAACAGGGACCCGCAGCAGTGCTGCGTGAAAATTAAGGAGCTCAGGCAAACCTACCAAAAAACCAGAGAGGTAAACGGCCGCTCCAGTTCAGAGCCCCAGACATGCCACTTCTATGATGAGCTGCATGCCATTCTAGGGGTGCAGCCACCACTACCCCAACCCTGTGCTTTGACTCCATGCATGGAGTGGGAGGCAACATGGAAGCGGGTTTTGTGGGCGAGGAAGATGATGATGAGGAGGAGGTTGTAGATAGCTCACAGCAAGAAAGCGGAGAAACCGTTTCCCCCAACAGCCAGGATCTGTTTATCACCCTGGACCTGGAGCCAGTACCCCCTGAACCCACCCAAGGCAGGCTCCCGGACCCTGAAGGCGGAGAAGGGACCTCTGGTAAGTGTACCTTTGTAAATATTATACATGGTTTAAAAGCAAGCATGTTTAATGATTAATTTGCCCTGGCATTCACGGCCAGTATAGCTACTGGAAAAGTCTGTTAACGTATCTGGGGATGGAGCGGAAATCCTCCAGGGACATCTCCATAAAGCTCTCCTGGATGTACTCCCAAAGCCTTCGCAAAAGGTTTCTGGGGAGGGCAGGCTTATTCCGTCCTCCATGGTAGGACACTTTACCACGCCAGACCAGTAGCACATAGTCGGGAATCATTGCAGAACAAAGCATTGCAGCGTATGGTCCCAGTGTTTGCTGGCATTCAAACAACATCTATTCTTTATCTCTCTGTGTTACCCTCAGGAGAGTGATATCATTCATGGTCACCTGGTTGAAATAGGGTGGTTTTAGTAATCAGACATTCAGAGGTGCTCGTTCCTGCTGGGCTGTTTGCCTGTGGCTGAACAGAAATCTTCCCTGCTGTTAGCCACGCGGTGCGGGGAGGGGTGAAGCCATCATCCCAGAGAACTGGGTGTGTGTGTGTGGGGTGGGGTTAGTTGGGTTTCTGCTGCACGTTAACCCGGAAAGTGCAGCCCCTCCTTTTCAATTGCCAGCCCATTTTAAATGGCCAACCCAACGGCTACTTTGTATGGGAAATGGGGGCACCGCTGTTTGAAACCATTCCCACATGTTATGAAGGTTATAGAAGCTAAAAGACTGTGGCTTACCATGGCTGCCTGCAAGCCAAATTCTGCTGCCTGGCCCTGCGTGAGTGATCTCTCACACCAAACCGGCATACCCTCCATAAGAAGCAGAATGCGACCTTGTAGTGAAAGCACATGTGCTATGTAATGTTAACAGCAAGGTTTACCGTGAAAGAGTGTACCCCTTGTTCTATAAAATGTGTCTTTTTAACTACCACTCTCCCTTTTTTCCCTCCACCAGCTGCATATGTTTCTCCTTCTCAGAGGCTAGCAAAGATTAGAAGGCGAAAAAAACACACTCGCGATGTAGTTGAACAGCTCCTGACAACTGTCCAGGCCGGCTGTGTATGGCTTCATGAGCCATGGCATTAAGGGGTAGGCTGGGTCCTCAAGGATAACTATAGACATTTCAACATCCCCAGCGGTTATTTTCTGGCCTGGAAAATAAGTCCCTTGCTGCAGCTGTTGAAACAGACCAGAGTTCCTGAAGATGCGAGTGTCATGTACCTTTCCTGGCCATCCCATGTTGATGTTGGTGAAATGTCTCTTGTGATCCACCAGTGCTTGCAGCACCATTGAAAAGTACCCCTTTCGGTTTATGTACTTGCTGCCTTGGTGCTCTGGTGCCAAGATAGGGATATGGGTTCCGTCTATCGCCCCACCACAGTTAGGGAATCCCATTGCAACAAAGCCATCCACTATGACCTGCACGTTTCCCAGAGTCACTGCTCTTGATAGCAGCAGCTCAGTGACAGCGTTGGCTACTTGCATCAGAGCAGCCCCCACAGTAGATTTGCCCACTCCAAATTGATTCCCGACTGACCGGTAGCTGTCTGGCGTTGCAAGCTTCCACAGGGCTATTGCCACTCGCTTCTCAACTGTGAGGCTGCTCTCATCTTGGTATTCCTGCTCTTCAGGGCAGGGGAAAGCAAGTCACAAAGTTCCATAAAAGTGCCCTTACGCATGCGAGAGTTTCGCAGCCACTGGGAATCGTCCCAGACCTGCAACGCTATGCAGTCCCACCAGTCTGTGCTTGTTTCCTGGGCCCAGAATAGGTGTTCCACGCCATGAATCTGCCCAACTGACACCAGGATGTGCACATTGCAGGGGCCCATACTTTGTGAGAAGTCTATGTCCATGTCCTCATCACTCTCGTCACCGCGCTGCAGTCGCCTCCTCCTCGCCTGGTTTAGCTTTTCTTGCAGGTTATGGTTCTGCATATCCTGTTGGATAATGTGCATGGTGTTTATAGTGCTCAGAATTGCCATGGTGATCTGAGCGGGCTCCATGTTCCCAGTGCTATGGCGTCTGTGCTGAAAAAAGGCACGGAACGATTATCTGCCGTTGCTCTGACGGAGGGAGGGGTGACTGACAACATGGCTTACAGGGTTGGCTTACAGGGAATTAAAATCAATGAAGGGGGTGGCTTTGCATCAAGGAGAAACAGAATGGCCCCCTCAAGTATAGAGCTCAAAACCCTGGGTTAGCAGGCCGTTGATTTCACGGAGGAGGGGGGAGAAAATGAATACAAAACAAATCTGGTCTATTTCTTGTTTTGATCCACTTCATCTATCTTTATACATTTTAGCTAGCATCAGATGGTGTAGTACAACTGCTAGCCATCGTCGTCTCCTGGGTGCTCGGCAGAAGACGGTGCAGTATGACTGCTGACCATCGTCGTCTCTTGGCTGCTCACCAGAAGACCATGCAGTACGACTGCCGGCAGGACTGAATCTCCATGAGACAAAACTTAAAAAGGGAAATGACCTGGCTGAGTCACTCCCATGTCTGCCCAGGTGCCCCTGATTGACCTCACTGAGGTCGGCTAAAAGAGCACCCAGGAGTACGGTGATGATGGCTACCAGTCATACTGCACCATCTGCTGCCAAAAGGCAATGAGCTTCTGCTGTGTAGCAATGCAGTACCGTGTCTGCCAGCATCCAGGAGACATACGGTGATAAAGAGCTGAGCAGGCTTGCCGTGGTATGGCGACTGCAGGGGTAACCCAGGAAAAAAGGAGCGAAATGATTGTCTGCTGTTGCTTTCACAGAGGGAGGGAGGGAAGGGAGGGCCTGACGATATGTACCCAGAACCACCCGCAACAATATTTTTGCCCCATCAGGCATTGGGATTTCAACCCAGAATTCAAATGGGTGGCGGAGACTGCGGGAACTGTGAGATAGCTACCCACAGTGCAACGCTCCGGAAGTTGACGGTTGCCTCGGTACTGTGGACACACTGCGCCGACTAAATGCACTTAGAGCATTTGTCTGGGGACACACACAATCGACTGTATAAAAACGCTTTCTACAAAACCGACTTCTATAAATTCGACCTAATTTCCTAGTGTAGACATACCCTAAGTCCCATTGAAACAAAATGAGTTTGCGGGCAGTGCCACGCCCTCCGCTGCATGGAGTTTGGCAGCGTCGCTGTGAAGGAATCTGGCTCTGAATAGCTCATGCTTCCAGAGCATGTTAGAGAAACTGAAATTGCTGGAGCCTGCGTAGCACCTGCCTTTAGGATATAGAGTGAACGCCACGTAGTAGCACAACCAGTGCCTTAATGTTAATCAGCACAGATGTGCCCTGTGCAAACAGAAATACTGTGGAGAAATGGAAACTATTGGTTTGACTGTGGTGGAATACCTCATACGTTCCCCTAGATCATGCTAGTTACATATGTCTGGCTCCAGTGGATGCAAAAAGGAATGTTGAGAACAGTGCTTTCAAATGGACATGGTACATTACTAAAATATTTAGGCCACATCAGGCTTAAGTGCTTCTTCAGCTATCTCACTATACTGCTCAGGCACTCAGTCTTTATCAAAAGACCACTGGTGAAGTCATAAAAAGTTTCGTTTGGCTGTGGGGGAGGGTACTACCTAATTATTATGAGGGTGTTTAATGCTTCGGTTTATGAAATCCTTAAGCTGATGACTTGTTTACTACATACTATTATCATAAGTAGTTTTGTTGCCCTGTCTGCAGATCTGATGCCTATTAAGATGGAAACTGTATGTAAATCAGGATACCCCATTAATATCTATAATTCATGCCGGAATGCAGGAGTTTGCTTGCTACAAGAAGAAACCATAAACAGGAGTTTTATGAACACTAAAAATTGTTGCAAAGGTGGTTCTCTTGGAATAATTTTCACTTTCAGGCTCACATCAATCCTTAATTTTAGTAGCACCCGTAGCAGGATGGAAATGATGATTGATTTTTCTCCAAGTATTGTGGGCTGCCGAGTTGAGATTTCACTATAAAAGACTAGACATTTTCAATTGCTTTTTATACGTTCAGAATTGATTTTATTTGCTTAGCACGAGACTAAAATAATGAAAGAAAAAAACAAAGCACAGCCAAACACTAGAGCTGACTGTACAGAAAATACAGTGGGACGCTGTTTTCTTCTT